GAGAACTCCTTTTGTAGCACCTCCTATCCTGTACCCATATCCTTTAACATTTAACCTGACCCTAAAATGGAGAGTACCCTTAATTTGTGGGTATAAAATCCTATGTAGTAATTGAAGTAGTTATAAGGCCAGGATAGTTTTTACAGTTTTTAATGCATTCCTTGCATTAAGGTAAATAAAAAATTGTATCTCCCCCTAACACCCCCTTCCTTATACTTACCTGAATCCTCATTCGACCCAACACTGTGCCCGTTGCTAGCCGGCTTCTGCTGCTGTCAATCAAGTCCTGTAAGGAGGGAGCGGGGGGGAGGGTCAACCCACACTGTGTATATCTATGGATGTACACAATTTAGTTCGGGAGTGAGCCCGCAGTGCACCCCATTGGGAAGCAGATTTTTATGGTGGCTCATGGAGCAGAAGAGCCAAGAGGGCCGGCGAGGAACCCCAGAAGAGAAGGTTCAGGGCCTCTTCGTGCAATACTTTTAGGTATAACATGTTTGTTATTTTAAAAAAATATCTTAGCCCTGGTTCACACTGAATGTGACTTTGAAATTGAGCAACTGCACTTGAAGAAGCACAGTTTCAAAGCCACAGATCAGTGCAATTTGAACCTCTGATTTCACTGCGGCTTCATTTAACAATGCAATTTGCAATGAAATCGAAAAAGTAGTACAGCAACTATCTTTGAAATTGCGCTACTTCAAATCGCACTGATTAAGACAGTACCAAAGAAATGTATTAGATGCAACTTCAGGTACAATTTGTAAATCACATGTCGCACCTGAAGTTGCACTGGTGTTAACCAGGGTTTAGTGCCAGGAGTATGCAGCGCTCCTGCTCCATCACAGCTGCTGATCTCATTCCAACATCCTGGTTTAGGCTGTGATACATTCTCCCTGTCTATCTGTCTACCTGCAAGGTGATTGATGCAGCCAGTCTCTGGGTGGAGAACAAACCTAAGTAAGCCAGCAAAGTCTGCAGTGTCATGCTTGTGATATTGCATTTGTAACACATACTCCAAGCTCCCTATTTATCTGCCCTGCTAGTTTGGATTCCCTTGTTTACCACTTCGGATCAGATATCAGCTACTCTCAGAACTCTGCCTGCTTTTTGACTATAGATTTGACCCCTGACTATTCTGAACCTTTCCTGCCTTATACTGGACTGTCATTGAACCACTCTGCCTGTCTGCTTAGTTTGCGCCTACCCCGTCATGCTAGTCAGGCATGGTGTACAAGTCTGCTTGCCTTCTGGGAAGGGGGGCTGCTATAAGTGAAGAGCACAGAAACCAGCTAAAGTGTATATCCACCTGCATTAGGGGTAAACGTGACACTTAGCCTTTACAATCACTTTTCAGAGAAATTGCAGAGCTTCCAGCAAGCTTTGTTGAACTTTTGGTAAAGAGCCCTTCAGCGCCAGTTTGTGAATGTTGAGCACAGATCTTAATGGGATTGCTGATTGTCACTTTAAACAAGTTTCTAGCAGGCTTCAGGTGAAACCTGCTAGCAACTTGTTTAAAGTGTGTATAACATATCCAAACAGGAGATGAGCTGTTCTTAAAAAAGGCTTAGAGAAAGCTGCCCGAAGCTTGCTGAAAGTTTCATAAATGCTTGTTATGCACACTGCTCCTGTTAGAGGTCCGGGTATGACCAGAAATGTGTGGGAACACAGGTGTAGTCAGGGTTGGAGAGGTAGAATGGTCAGGCAGGCCGTTTGGTACTGTTAAGCACTGCCTGGCGGCGTCTCAAGCAGCCCACAGCACGAGGTTCCTCAGGGTGCGGGGTCTAAGTCCCAATCTGCTTATTCACCAGGGCCCCTGATGTTGGGGATGGACTTGGAGCAGACTGAGACCAGGTCGCGACCCCTGAGTACGTCCGGCAATGGTAGAGAGCGTCGTCAGAGGTTTGCGGGGAAAGGAGCCTGACGTGAAGAGGCTGGCAGACCTGGTAACAGGGACAGATCCGTGTGGGATGGATGGATCGTCTGGGTAGTGCAAGGCATAGTCAGGCAGGCCAGGTACGCAACGTGCGGGCAGCGAGGTACCGGAGGAGCAGGCAGAGAATGGTCAGGGTCACAAGCCGGGTTCAGTAACTCACGGGCAGCGCGGTACAGAGGATCAGGCAGAAGGATGGTCAGGCAAGCCAGGGGTTAAACAGGAGACGGTCAGCAGGGTCAGGAACAATGCAGAGGTCGGCAACAGAAGATTCACAGGATACCAGGTACAGGGGCTCATGGGAAACAAACACCAAGGCACTGATTGCAGGCCTGGTCCTGCTTAAATAGACCTCCTGCAATCAGCCTCAGGTGATGGCTTGATTGCAGGAGTGAGACCCTGGCTGCTGAAAGCACCCTCTGGTAGGAGCTGGTACTGCAGCCCACAGAGCAAGTGAGCCACAGCACCACCAGTGGTGAGTCCATTCCTGACAGCTCCTATACAAGAAAAAGGCCATGTGAAAAAGGCCTTGAGATGAGGGTTAGATACTTGCATACTTTATAAAAATCTGCTTCACTTATGGTTCACTTGATTCACTTCTGCCATCCAATTTGTTTTGTAAACAACTTTGGCCTTTAGCAGAGTAAAGAATATCTAAACTCAACAACAAAAATTTAATATATTGCAGCTTACCAGTCAATAGGTTGGGTGGTCTCATTCATTATCATTTTTCAGCAAGTACAGAAAATACTTTGCCTTTATGTGCAACTAACACCTTGTAGGCAGGTCCAGTCCATGCTCCCCATTGTAGGTGGTGCTAGGCTAAAGCTGCAATACAGAAGGGGTTGGAAATTGTGGGGAACTTAGTTCCATTATGATTCCCTAGGGTCACTTGGGAACAGCTGTCTGGTTGGATGATGGGACCCTTGCGACCTCAATGACCATCTTGGGTGAAGGCAGAGCTTATTTAAGTGCCTGGCCCCCTTGATTTGGCGCACTTTTTTTGTGAGTGTCTAGCGTAGGGCCAGGTTCCCTGTCTGTTTGGGACAGCACTTAGTGGTAGGGAAAGGTTTTGGAGGAGCAGGAAAAGTGCAGGGACTATGTTATCCTCATTGGAGAAGCCTCAAGTTGGGTTGGATCGGCCAGGCTCCTTGTTGCAGAAGCTGTTAGAATCGCTCCAAGCTACAGGATCACTGCTGTGTGTTTTGTAAATGGCTCTGGTTGGCTGTGCTTACCTTCTGGACCTGTTTGTACTTTGTTGGAACATTAACAACATACAGTTAACCCTCCTCTACCTCTGTGTGTTCTCTGCGGCTGCTACACCTTGCTGCATCTCTGCTCACAACCTTCCTCAAAAGATATAACATACGTTCTGCCACTACTCTATTACTATAACCACTATTACCAAAACAGTCTGAATGTTTGTTTTAAAAAGTGACATCATTAAGATTATAAAATAGATTGTCACAGTTTATTTGATGAATTGGAAATAATTTTTCCCAAGAATTTTTAAAGCTGAAGTTTAGCGGAAAAAAAAAAAGATTTCTCTTTAGGATTGAACTGAATAATATCCTTGCAAGGAATCAACCTGTGTGTAGCCCCCAAAAATGTCCTTGAATATTTAGGCCTCTGAGCTCAGGAGAAATAAAGCTCCAGACACTGAAGTGTGCAAGCTAAATCTCTGAAAGTTTAATGGGTACAAGCAGTTTTATACAAAGTCAGAATGACCAATGAAATATTGTACTCTTATCAAAAAATATAGTAACTACAAATGGCTGAGGACCACCATATAAGGTAGTTCCATTTCATCAGAATATAAATCAAAGCTATGAAATGAAAGAATTAAAGTGAAACTCAAAAACTAAACTAACTTGTTCACACATCTAAAATAGAGGCATTATACAAAATGAATGCCAGTTAATAAGATATTTTTACTTACAATCCTTTTTCTCCAAAAATAATCAATACATACAATATATACAACATAATAGTTCCTTAATCTAGTTTTCATTAAAAGGTTTCTTACTTTCTTTCTTTTACTTCCTGATTGACTCCTTGTAATGTTCTCCATGAGCTCCTGAAACTCTCTTTTTTCCCCTCACTTCCATCATTTTGGAATGAGCAATCCATGTTCGTTGTGATCATGTGCATTGCTCTATACATACTATAAATCCCAAAGTTCATAGTCCATCTTGGGTGCGTGCATGAGAGGGTGGCTATCTACCAAAATTCAGTGGCACCTTAGAGATCAAATGTAGCCACCCACTAACAGGAAGTTGGATTTTTTTTTTCACTGTATCCCGAATATTGAAGGATATACAGTACATATAATTTCTGTTAATAGTGGAGAAGGATCTGGGAGTTCTGGTAGATCACAAGCTTAATAATGGCATGCAATGCCAAGCTGCGGTTTGTAAAGCGAGCAAATCCTCTCTTGTATTAATGTAATTAATGTATTGTCTCTTCAGAAGAGGAGATTAAGGGGGGATATGATCAACATCTAGAAATATATAATTGATCCATAAAGCAAACTTGTTGTTGCGTTATTCACTTTAAGGTCAGCACAGAATACAAGGGGGCACTCTCTGGAGGAAAAAGAGGTTTACCTTCGCACATGGAAAGACTTCTTCACAGTAAGAGCTGTGAAGATGTGGAATAGACTCCCTCAAGAGGTGGTTCTGGCCAGATCAGTAGATTGTTTTAAAAAAAGGTCTGGATTCTTTCCTAAATGCACAAAATATAACTAGATACTAATATTTATAAGTAAAGTTGATCCGGGGAATAACTGATTGCCTCTTGAAGGATCAAGAAGGATTTTTTTTTTCCCCTGCTGGAGCAATTTGGATCATGCGTTATTGTTTTGGGTTTTTTTTTTGCCTTCCTCTGGAGCAACTGTGGGTATAGGATTGTGTATATAGGATTTTATACTTTTTTTTTTTTTTTCTTTTATTGGTTGAACTAAATGGACTTGTGTCTTTTTTTCAACCAGACTAGCTATGTAACTATGTAACTATATGCTAATACAGAACTTAAAATTTCAAGTCCTGAGCTACTAGCCAGGCCTTAGACCAACAAACAAACAAAAACAGAGACACCTGTACACACACACAAACATGTACATACACACACACACATACACACACAGAAACATGTACACACACGCACAGGGACACATGAACACACACATACATACAGACACATGTATACACACACAGGCACGTACAGACATGCATACACACAGATACATGTACATACACAGAAATACACACACAGACACATGTACATACAGGTGAAACTCGACAAATTAGAATATCGTGCAAAAATTAATTTATTTCAGTAATGCAACTTAAAATGTGAAACTAATATATGAGATAGACTCATTACATGCAAAGCAAGATAGTTCAAGCCGTGATTTGTCATAATTGTGATGATTATGGCTTACAGCTCATGAAAACCCCAAATCTACAATCTCAGAAAATTAGAATATTACATGCAATCAATAAAACAAGGATTGTACATAGAACAATATCGGACCTCTGAAAAGTATAAGCATGCATATGTACTCAGTACTTGGTTTGGGCCCCTTTTGCAGCAATTACTGTCTCAATGCGGCATGGCATGGAAGCTATCAGCCTGTGGCACTGCTGAGGTGTTATGGAAGACCAGGATGCTTCAATAGCGGCCTTCAGCTCTTCCTTCTGCATTGTTCGGTCTCATGTCTCTCATCTTTCTCTCGGCAATGCCCCATAGATTCTCTATGAGGTTCAGGTCAGGCGAGTTTGCTGGCCAATCAAGCACAGTAATCCCACAGTCATTGAACCAGGTTTTGGTGCTTTTGGCAGTGTGGGGCAGGTGCCAAGTCCTGGTGGAAAATGAAGTCACCATCCCCATAAAGCTCATCTGCGGAAGGAAGCATGAAGTGCTCAATATCTCCTGGTAGACGGCTGCATTGACCCTGGACTTAATGAAGCACAGTGGACCAACACCAGCAGATGACATGGCTCCCCAAATCAACACAGACTGTGGAAACTTCACACTGGACTTCAAGCATCTTGCAGTGTATGCCTCTCCATTCTTCCTCCATACTCTGGGTCCTTGGTTTCCAAATGAGATGCAAAAGTTGCTCTCATCAGAAAAGAGGACTTTGGACCACTGAGCAACAGACCAGGTCTGTTTTTCTTTAGCCCATGTAAGACGCTTCTGACGTTGTTTGTTGTTCAGGAGCGGTTTGACAAGAGGAATACGACATTTGAAGCCCATGTGTGTGGTGGCTCTTGATGCACTGACTCCAGCCTTAGTCCACTCCTTGTGAAAGTCCCCAACACTTTTGAATGGCCTTTTCCTGACAATCCTCTCCAGGCTGCAGTCATCCCTGCTGCTTGTGCACCCTTTTCTTTCACACTTTTCCCTTCCACGTAACTTTCTATTAATGTGCTTTGATACAGCATTTTGGGAATATCCAACTTCTTTTGCAATTACCTTTTGAGGCTTTCACTCCTTTATGGAGGGTGTCAATGATGGTTTTCTGCACAACTGTCAGGTCAGCAGTCTTTCCCATGATTGTGATTCCTACTGAACCAGACTGAGAGACCATTTAAAGGCTCAGGAACCCTTTGCAGGTGTTATGGCTTAATTAGCTGATTAGAGTGGGACACTTTGAGCCTAGAATAGGCTTTTCACAATATTCTAATTTTCTGAGATTGTGTATTTGGGGTTTTCATGAGCTGTAAGCCATAATCATCACAATTATGACAAATCACAGCTTGAACTATTTTGCTTTGCATGTTATGAGTCTATCTAATATATTAGTTTCACCCTTTAAGTTGCATTACTGAAATAAATGAACTTTTGCACGATATTCTAATTTTTTGAGTTTCACCTGTACATACACAGACACATGTACGTACATACGCACACACACACAGACACATGTACACACACACATATACAATTGTACATGCATACACAGACACACACAAACACACACACGTACACACAAACACACACATGTACACACACACACACACATACAACCCCCCCATAAAAAGTTGCAGTACTTCGTTGTTCACTCACAGCTCCGCATACTGCACTCTAGGGGGAGGCAGAGAGCACAGCACACACTCCTTGCTTTGCTTGCACTGTGCTCAGCTATTGAGCAGTCTGACGGCTCCCAGTGCCAATGACAAATCCAGCCTGAGCTCCGAGCCTGCTCAGCAAGATAGCCCTGGGGGACACGCTCGCCCCCACCATAATTTCCACTCACCATTGGCGAGCAGGCGAGTGGAAATTTCAAGCCCTGTGCTAATACATTGCCAGAGACATATTTTTCCCACTGCAGCCTGAAAGTAAAATATATGTTTGGACTAATTAGTCTGTATGTGTTGGTGTAAGACCTTTACAATCCATTATTGGTATATGTCACTCAACTTCAACTTCAAAGAAAAAAGTGTATGGAATCCCACTAACTTTTTAAATATTTGGATGATAGATTCTTCACTGCATGAGTTTTTCTGCGCTGGAAATAGGATTGCACCAAAATACTCCTGAATCTCATGTCACATAAACTTCCAGTTTTGCTCCTTAACTCTTTTTTTTAGTATAAGGCTCTGTTCACACCAATATGTTTTTTAGTGCTTTTTTCAGAAACTCACTACAGTCTATTTAACATGGTTTCATATGGAACATGTTCACATCTATGCTTTTTTTGAGCTGCTGCATTTTTGGAAAGGGTCAGGGACTTTTCAATGGAGAATCAGCTGAAATGCATGGTAGTGTGTTTTTGCCACTGTTTCCATTTTGTATTTTTATTCTGCCCAGCAACAAAAAAAATTCCACTGTAACAGAAAAAAAAGAGCTGAACAAAACACAAAATGCATTAAAAACACGTCAAAAGCACATCAAAGACGCGTGTAGAAAAACGCAAAATGAACTGCAAAACGGACAAAAAGCAAACTGCATACAGTTATGTTCAAAATAATAGCAGTGTGTTGAAAAAAGTGAATAAAGCTCAAATCCTTCTAATAGCTTTTATTTCCATACACACAAATGCATTGGGAACACTACACATTCTATTCCAAATCAAAACATGAAGAAAAATATATCAAATTTGTGTTGTTACTCTAAAAAAATTTAAGAAAAGTAAATATTAGACTGTTCAAAAAAATAGCAGTGTTTGTATTCTTCTTTACAAACTCAAACATTCACTATATAAACTGAAAAATGTTTGAAGATTTTGCTTTCCTTTGAATCACTTAATGAATATTTAGTTGTATAAGCACTGTTTCTGAGAACTGCTGTACATCTGTGTTGCATGGAGTCACCCAACTTCTGGCACCTGTGAACAGGTATTCCAGCCCAGGATGATTGGACTACATTCCACAGTTCTTCTCTATTTCTTGGTTTTGCCTCAGAAACTGCATTTTTGATGTCACCCCCACAAGTTTTCTATTGGATTAAGATCCAGGGATTGGGCTGGCCACTCCATAACGTCAATCTTGTTGGTCTGGAACCAAGATGTTGCACGTTTACTGGTGTGTTTGGGGTCGTTGTCTTGTTGGAACACCCATTTCAAGGGCATTTTTCTCTTCAGCATAAGGCAGCATGACCTCTTCAAGTATTCTGATGTATTCAAACTGATCCATGATCCCTGGTAAGCGATAAATTGGCCCAACACTGTAGTATGAGAAACATCCCCATATCATGATGCTTGCGCAACCATGCTTCACTGTCTTCACAGTGTACTGTGGCTTGAATTCAGTGTTTGGGGGTCATCTGACAAACTGTCTCCGGCCACTAGACCCAAAAAGAACAATCTTACTTTCATCAGTCCACAAAATGTTGCGCCATTTCTCTTTAGGCCAGTCAATGTGCTCTTGGGCAAATTGTAACCTCTTCAGCACGTCTTTTTTTCAACAGTGGGACTTTGCAGGGGCTTCTTGCAGATAGCTTGGCTTCACATAGGCGTCTTCTAATTGTAACAGTACTCACAGGTAACTTTAGACCTTCTTTCATCTTCCTGGAACTGATTGTTGGCTGAGTCCTTGCCATTTTGGCTATTCTTCTATCCATTCGAATGGTAGTTTTTCGCTTTCTTCCACGTCTATCAGGTTTTGGTTGCCATTTTAAAGCATTTGCGATCATTTTAGCTGAGCAGCCTATCATTTTCTGCACTTATGTTTTCCCCTCTCCAATCAACTTTTTAATCAAGGTACGATGTGCTTCTGAACAATGTCTGGAACGACCCATTTTCCTCAGAATTTCAGAGAGAAATGCACTGTAACCAGCATGTACAACATTTGCTGCCTTCCTTCCTTAAATAAGGGCAATAATTGCCACCTGTTTTTCAAAGAATGAATGACCTCACTAATAGAACTCCACACTGCTATTATTTTGAACATGCCCCTTTTAATTAGTGATTCAATTACACAGAATCAGCAGCATGCATGTCATGACTGTTGGCTCTGTTGGATTTCTATTACTCTACTACACCTGCTAGTAAATTATTTGCCATGTAGAAATATAATTTCTACCAAAAACAGTGATTGATCAGGTTAGTGATGTCTGACTGCTATTATTTTGAACACAACTGTAGGTGTGAACATAGCCTAAAGGATGGTGGCAATGCTGATGATGCACTGTAACTGATAATGGTAATGAGCAGCACTGAGAAAAAGTACAAAACCCTGCATTGTGTCTCAAAACACAACTTTGCTGCACTGTAAATTAGGATGGGAAGCACAAGTGGGGAAAAGATTACATGTATGGCAGTGTGTGGTAGCCGGGATCTGAAGATGGCGCAAACTCTTCACCATGGGCAGTCAAAGGTTTGTGTATATCTGCATCTAGAGAACTAGAATGACCTGGGTCAAATCCTGATTCATTTGAATCTGATCATGCATCTCTAACAAGGACTTCCTATATCTTAATTAATGTGCCAGAAGAACTTGTCACCTCCTTTTTAAGCGTCTCCCGGATAAGCGCTGTGATGGGCTAAGTGCCAGTAAGGCAGGAGTGTAATATATGCCCACAAAGTGATTTTTGTCATGGTTTGCAAGTTAATGCACTGCATGATATGAAGCTAGTTCATTTAAAATTGCTTTGCCAGCACCTTTCTCTGCCTACATTTTCTGTTGGTTTTAAAGTTGATTTAATGCAATCTTAAGGTGTCTTGACACTTTGAGGGAAGCATATCAAAGCAATGTGAATATGGCATTGCGATCTTTTCCGGTTTGAATGATCCAAACTAATTTCCAACATGCACCTCACATTTTAAATAGCAATGCTCTGAAGCTAAAGCTATGTATGCACAAATAAAAAGTGAAGTTTGGGTTATTATTTATCAAGAAATGCATTCAACTTATATTTTCATTAAGGCTTCAATTAGCTTTTATATTTTCAAATACAGGGTATATAGTAATTTTGCGTCCTCAGCAGACATTTTGCCACTTCTTTTGCCTCCTCCTTATAGATAGGAAAAAGTTCCCCACACAATATTGTTAAAATAAGATTAATGGCATTGGGCTACAGCATTAGGTCGATGTTAGATGACAAAGTCCAGAGGGCATGGCAGTCTAGGTATAGTTAGGTTTAGGTGACATGGGCTGCAGGCTGCCAATACTTTTGTTCATAATGGGACAACATGTAATCAGATAGTTGCTAGTAACAGTGCTTTCTTATTGTACATGGAAGGTACTGTTGTTTTCAGATTATTCACTATGTCTCCCTATTTATTTGGGGTTTGTACAATCTACTGTACTTTTAAAAATTTTCTTCTGTATATGTCCAGTCTTGGACAGTGAGCTCCACATGGTTCTGTCACTGCCAAAACCAACAACAAATATGCAGAGTAAGACATGTGGAAAATGTACAATAAAGGAGTATGATCAGTGCTGATGACAAGTGTGGACCACAACACTTTAGACAGGAAAAGATGGGGCTAGTAGGTTACTTTGGACATAGATTTGTAGTTTCCGGGTCCGATTTTAGCCACTGAGAAGCTGTCCAAAAAAGTGATTGAATCTGTCACAGTCAGGGGTCAGATTCAGAGACCAGTAGCTATAGCAGTAGAGAGGCTCCCTCCAACGAGTTGAATAAGTACAGAAGCAGGTCACCCAGGCAGATGACACAGGTTCACCCGAGGTACAGAGTCTAAGCACTAACCAGTGTTCACCAGAGCTTGTGATGGTGGAGATGGGTTTTGCTGCGTGTTAGTACCAGGTCGTGGTCCTCAGGATTGCCCCATTAGGAGGTAAACACGCCAGAGACCATTAGCTAATATAGCAGGTAGGGATCAAGCAGAAGTGTTGTCAGTAAACAAGCCAAAATTCTGTAGCATTTGCAAGGGTGACGTCATCCTCCGCCAGCCAATGAAGAACTCTGAAGACTATCAGTAAGAAGAAGATGCCGACACAGGACCGTTGAATAGGTACAGTTGCAAGAAAAAGTATGTGAACCCCTTGGGATTACGTGGAGTTTTGCATGAATTGGGCATAAAATGTGCTCTGAACGTCATCTAAGTCACAACAATAGAACACAGTCTGCTGAACATAATACTACACAAACATTAGATGTTGCCATGGTTTAATTGCACATAACATGTAAACATTCACAGTGCAGGGAGGAAAAAGTATGTGAGGCCCTAGCTTAATGACTTCTCCCAGAGCTAATTGGAGCCAGGAGTGAGCCAACCTTGACTCCAATCAGTGTGATGATATTGGATGTGTTGCTGACAGCTGTCCTGCCCTTAAAAAACACACATCTGTTTTGGGTTTACTGGTTTCAAGAAGCACTGTCTAATGTGAACCATGCCTCGCAGAAAAGAGTTCTCAGAAGACCTACGATCAAGAATTGTTGACTTGCATGAAGCTGGAAAGGGTTACAAAAGTATCTCCAAAAGCCTTTATGTTCATGTGTCCACGGTAAGACAGACTGTCTACAAATGGAGAAAGTTTAGCACTGTTGCTACTCTCCCTAGGCGTGGTCGTCCTGTAAAAATTAAAGAGCACAGCGCAGAATGCTGCATGAGGTAAAGAAGAATCCCAGAGTGTCAGCTAAAGATCTACAGAAATCTCTGGCACATGCTAACATTTTTGTTGACACATCTACAATAAGGAAAACATTAAACAAGAATGGAGTACATGGGAGGACACCACGGAGGAAGCCATTGCTGTCCAAAAAGAATATTGCAGCACGTTTGAAGTTTGCAAAAGAGCACCTGGATGTTCCACAGCACTACTGACAAAATATACTGTGGACAGATGAAACTGAGATTGAGTTGTTTGGGAAGAACACACAAC